CCTAGAATCCAGTGACAGAGTGGGAGGATTGATGAGCAAAGGGGTCAAGATTGGGCTGGTTTAACCCACAGAAACAGCTGGCCTGAACAAAGGGTAGTTCTTGAACCCCAGACTGATGACTAGGAGGCCAGCATGGGACTGATCCAGACCCCCTGAATGTGGTTGTCAGTGAGGAGGCCTAGGCAATCTATGGGGCCTTAGGTAGTAGATCAGTATTTATCCCTGGCATACAAGTCGATTTTTGGTGCCCATCTCACAATGAGGAATACTCTCTGAGCCTGAACTCTTCGGGGAGGGCCTAGGCCCTGCCCTGAGTGAAATGACAGACTTTGGAGATTTCCCCATGGAGAGGCCTCATCCTCCCTGGGTAATGGAGTGGGGATTGGTGGAGAGCTGGGGGGGTCTCCTAGTGGGGCGTGGGGAGGGGAAGGGAAAGGGAGCTAGGATTGACATGTGAAACAACCTTGTTTCCAATTTAAATAAAAAATCTAAAAAATTATATATCATAAAATTCATTCATTTGTAACTTCCTATCCATCTTCTAGTGAGTCTGTTGAATAAAATGTGTTTCTTGGTAAAACAACAACAACAACAAAAACCCAAATACAGCTGTATGTTCTCATTGCTCACAGATGTTTAACTTTGAAAGCATAAGCTTCCCCCTAAAAAGAATTCTAAAGTTTTTAAAGGGAATTTTCAAATAATATGGGACTAGCAGTTGCCTGTTACTGTCTTTAATCACAGAAAGGAAGTTCTGGGAAAGCTTGTTACTGCATTAGGGAATTAACTGCTTTCTTCAAATCTTTGTTTCACCAGCATTGCAAATATAAAATGGAATAATCACACAAGTGTAATTTTTTGTGCATTCAGAATTTTTCGTTATACATTAGATTCAGGGGAAAGAAACTTAGACTTTTCAAGACATTAAGTTAATTGCAATGTGGTAAAATCCTTAGTTTTGAGGTCAATATAGTTTCCCTCTAGAGAACAGCATTTAGAAAACATGCAACACTTAAAATCAGATAATACATTTCAGGATTGAGGGAGGTAGATGTGGGGGAACACTAAATGATCCAATTATCCTTGGAAGTTTAACTAAAATACAGGCAAATTTTGGTCAATGTTAACTTCATGAAAATTTATTTCAAGTTATATTTTGTGACAAGAATATTTGAGCATTATCAAAGTCACATGGAATGAAATGAAAAGTAGTATTTGGATTCTTTTTATATATAACCATGGTCTCACAGTTTCTATGGTGAGGTAAAGCATTGGGAGCATGGTAAACTCTTGTATCTACAGATATAAGAGTAATTAAGAGTTAATAATGACATTTTATTAAAAATGGGTGAATGGGTTAGATGCTGCGGTACTTTGAGTGGAGATGGCTCCTGTAGGCTTGAATGTCTGAATGCTTTGCTGCCCATTGGTTGAACATTTTGGGAAGGGTTAGGAGGCATGGTCATGTTGGAGTAGGTGTGTCATTGGGGGTAGGCTCTGAGGTTTCAAAAGCTCACGCCACTCTCAGTTACTTTATTCCTCTTGCTGTGGATCAGGATGTATGCTCTCAGCCACCACTCCAGCACCATGCATCCCTTCTTGCTGCTCTGCTCTCTACCACGGTTGTCATGGACTCAGCCTCAGGAAGTGGAAGACCCAATAAACTATTTCTTCTATAAGTTGACTTGGTCATGGTATCTGAACACAGCAATAGAAAAGTAACTAAGACAACTGGAGATTATAAATGAATCATACTATTCTTAAAACACATTATAAACAAAGAAAAATAATGTACCTGAAAGGACATGATGTTTTCATAAAATTCACATAGAAATGGGTACAGGCCATTTTAATTTCCTCTTCTGATAAAGTATGACAATCTACTTAAAAATATTCAAACACAATGTGTTAGATTTTAGTCCCTAACCCCATTATTTTGGTTTTTCAAGGTAGGGTTTCTTTGTGTAGCCCTGGCTGTTCTGGAGCTCACTCTGTAAAAGAGGCTGGCCTCTAATTCACAGAGAATGATTGCCTCTACCTCCTTAGTGTTGGGATTAAGTGTGTTCGATCAGTGTCTGGTAGTTTTTAGTTCCTGTTCTGGCTTGCTTTGTGTGTCAACTTGACACAAGCTGAGTCATTAGAGGAAGAAGCCTCAGCTGAGGAAATGCCTCCTTGAGATCCAGCTGTAAGGCATTTTCTTAATTCGCAATCAATGGTGGAGGGCCCAGCCTTGGTGGGTGATGCCATTCCTGGGCTGTGGTCCTGGGTTCTCTAAGAAGGTGGGCTGAGCATGTTAGGAAGAGCAAGCCAGTAAGCAGCCCCCCTCCATGGCCTCCTCATTAGCTCCGGCTTATATCGTTTTGAGTTCCTGTCCTGACTTCCTTCACCGATGAACAACAATGCTGAAATGTAAGCTTAATACCCACCCCTCTCCCCAACAACTTGGTCTTTGGTCATGGCATTTGCTCACAGCAATAGAAACTCTATCTAAGACAGTCTGTTTGACAATGTAGCTGACATAAACTAATGGAAGAAAACACTATTTGCCTCCTGGTATCAGTGTCTTCATTCACAGGCTGCCAGGTTCTATGTTTCTGGGTCTAAAGCCAGAAGGGTATGTGACAGCAAAGGTGGTCAAGAAGCCAAGAGAGATGAAGCAAGGATAGAGACATCTTCCCAAGGCACGTCCCAACTGTCCAAGGTTCTCCAAGTAGACCCCACCACCTACTTTTACCACATCCCAATACTTTCATATTCTCCATTAAGAAATTAAACACATTGATTAGATCAGAGTCCTCAGCATTCAATCACTCCCACAAAGCACATCAACTGGCAACCAAAATACCAGTGCCTGTTGGGGACATTTGATACTCAAGCAAGACATACTGTCAGTAAACTTCCCTCTGCTTCACAATCAACACTGCACTTAACTAGGAAGGCACTATGCATTAAGTGTCTTTATCAAATTTTAAGGTGACATAGAACAGTTTTTATCTCATACAATTTTATAGGATTTATACTACATTTTCTTAAAATAAATCAACCGTTTTATTCAACTAGCAATTGTATGTTCCTTCTGCTTTTTTTTGACAGCGTCCCACTATGTAGTCCTCACTGGCTTGTAACTTTCTGTGCAGATCAGGCTGCCCTCCTACTCACAGAGACTTACTTGCCTCTGCCTCAAGAATACTGGGATTACAGGTGCTGATCACCAAGCCTGGTTCCTATGTTCTTGTATTAGGCACTGGAACACAATGAACAAGATGAAGCTTTGTACCCTGAAGTCAATTAAGCATGTAAAAAATAAAGTGAATTTTGAAAATGCTACAATAAGTTAAAATGGATATCAAGAAATGGAGACAGCCATGTGTGATGGAGCACTTCTTTGATCCCAGTACTCAGAAAGCTGTGGTGAATCATTGTTTATGATTTATGAAAGCCACTGGAGATCAAAATATCAAAGTAGCCATACTAGTCAGTCATAAAGCTAGATGGTGGTGGCACACCTTTAGTCCCAGGTCTCAGGACTAAGAGGTAGATGGATCTTTGTTAGTTCAAGGTCACACTGAGCTACCGAGAAACAGCTCACACAAGATTTCAGGACTTGAGATCATAGGCCTTTAATCCCAGGGCTCATGAGATGTACTTAAGTCAGGAACAGGGTCTCAGGGCTGGCATTCATTCTCCAGCCACATTGAGGCTAGGAAGGTGATGGGGGGAATTCCTTCTGTGTGTATGTTTCTTTTATTGGTTGATGAATAAAGTACTGTTGGCCAATAGGGAAGCAAGATAGGTGGGACTAGGAGTCGAGGAGAATTCTGGGAAATGTAGTCAAGAGTAGAGAGTCACCATGTGATTCCTGGGAGGAGAGTATGCAAGTCTGGCGTTCTCGGTAAGATAAGACCTTATAAAAATATATACTAGTAAGGGTTAATAATTAAGTCAGAGCTAGCCATTAAGAAACCATAGCAAATGGCCAACAGCTTCATAATTAATATAGTATCTCGTGTGCTATTTGAGGGCTGAGACAGTGGCGGGACCCAGGCAGCTGGTGGGAAAGAGTACATGTTACAGGAAGGCATATATTCTCCAGTCACACTGAGGAGAGGGGGCAGTCTGAGGCTTGGTGAGAGCTTGAGGAGACAGATCAGCCCTTTCAGCCTGAAGTAGAAGTAAGAGCTATTGGCTTGGCTGTTTTGCTTTTCTGATCTTCAGCTTGAAGCCTGAACACCAATATCAGTCTCTGGGTCTGATTTTCAAGTTACAAAAGGTCTTAATTCCTGTCTTCTCTTCCTTATATTCCTTTCTCCACCAAGCCATATCATGCCTGTCTCCACCTCCCTAGTGCTGCGATTAAAGGTGTGTATAACCATTGCCTGCAATTAAAGGTGTGTATAACCATTGCCTGGTCTGCTTGAGGCTGCTTTGCTTTCTGAATCCTGAGGCAAGCTTTAATAAATAATAAATAATATACCACCACAGGAGGCAGAGGCAGGTGGTTTCGAGTGAGGTTGCGGCTGGCCGGGGCAGCACAGTGAGACCCTGTCTCAATAAAAAAAAAAAGTGGGAATCATCATTTATTCCACATGCTGATGAACCCCAACTGTCAATAGTGCAAGCAGTCAAAGCAGTAAGACAGTAAAGAAGACATGAAATAAATTCTATAGTAATTTAAAAAGCTTACTTGCCAGTAGGAGCCAGGACATGCTGAGGATGATGACTGTTATCCCAGCACTTAGAAGACTGACTGGGGAAGAAGGAGCCCTAGGAGTTCAAGGTACACCTTGGTAGTGCCTCAGAGACAATATATCAAAAAATAAATAAAAACCCTTCAATATTACACTTCAATTTTAACAGGCCCCCAGACCTTAGCCCAGCTGACTCCATGATGGAAGGCCATAAAATTCAGTACAAAGACAGTAGTACCTGCTAAAATGAAAACAAAGACCTACTCCATTGATGCCCATGGTTCTGGGAGAGTCTCCAAAAAGTGTACTAACCTTGGTTTGTTTGCCTCTGTAGCTCCGCTTCGGGCTAACTGTTCTTGTTAACTGAAGTGTGTCAACTTAGGTCATAGTGTTTTGCTTAAAAGCTCACGCTGAGAAAGGCCTGGGCCTCCACTGACATACCACACACCCAGTGCAGTCGCTGGCCAGCTAATAAAGTCTTTCTATCTGCTTAAGCCCATGTGCAAGCAGTCTTTTCTGGCGGACACCCCTCAATATAATTAGACCACTTGCGTTTCAGGCAATTCTGTTGTAAATGAATGCCTGCCATCATGAAAGCATTTGTTTGCATTTATATCTATCAAACGGAACACCAAAAGGTTCTTGGGAGCCCCACAAAACACAAAAGAACCCAAAGGCTTAGTTTCCCTCATGTTACCTTCATAATCAACACGATTGCACACTTAGCATCATACAGGGGACGGAAATACTGCCTCACTCTGCTGGTGTGGGTACTTCACTTTTTAGTTTGTGATTAGCTCCCAAAGCCCTGGGAAATAGAGACGCTTTTTTTTTTTTCCTGCAAGGACGCCCTAATAAATATCTCCTTAGACTAGAGACTGTCCCGCCCCACGACTCCACAAAAGTGCTGTCTTAGGGGACAAACTTGTGTCCTCCTACTCGGAGACCTTAACTCTCACTTCCAAGCCAAAGCTTTCCTGAGACAGCCAACCTCAAAACCGCACAGCTCTCACGAGAGGCCATCGCAACGGCCGGACTACGCCGGCGCGAGAGTACCCGGTAGCTGCGAGACTGCGCGTGCGCGCGCCCCCCCTCCCTCCGACGCAAGCGCTTCCGGCCGAGCGGTCGTCAGCGCCGCGCCGCGCCGCGTCTGCTTCCGGCTGGTGTCGTAGCCGCGCGCCGCGGGCTTGGCTTCCGCGTCCGGGCCGGCCGAGAGGCGCAGTCGGCTCCGCGGCCGCGGGGCTCAGCGTGGCCGCGGCGGGACCTGTGGCTTCTCCCGCCGCGGGGCGACCGGAAGCGCCGCTCCCCGCCGCTGGCTCCGCCCGCGAGTGGCCTTTTGCAGCCGCCGGAGGACGTGAGTACCCGGGCGGGAGCTCGCCCCGCTTTCGGGGTCTGGCGGGGGCGCCCGTGGGCGGCTGGGACTGCAGCCTCCTCAGGCGCCGTGTGCGGCTCTGGCTGTGGTTCGCGGCATCTGGAGGCTCCCGCTTGGTGCCGCGTTTAGCAGGCGAGTGGATCTCACCGGGGAGATGGCGGAGGGGCAGCGCGCTTCGACAGGAGCTTGGGGACTTAGGTTAAACACGAACTCACGCTAGCTGCTGTTCCACGTCGTTGCTGTTTGCCATGGGGCGCGTTGAGAATTAAGAAGTCGGAGGGGAGGGAGAGGCAACTGGGAGAAACATGTGTAAAAAGTTAAAAGAATTATTATATGTATGTAAAAGAATTTAAAGTCGTACTAACAGCAGCACCCCCCTTTTAATTGTTGCAGGAGCTAAAACTTTTCAGCGCGGTGAGGAGCCACTCGCAAGGAATTAAAGATGAGTAAGAGCAAAGATGACGCGCCTCACGAACTGGAGAGCCAGTTTATTTTACGACTGCCCCCAGAATATGCCTCTACTGTGAGGAGGGCCGTGCAGTCTGGACACGTCAACCTGAAAGACAGGCTCACCATTGAGTTACACCCCGATGGGCGTCACGGCATTGTCAGAGTGGATCGAGTTCCCCTGGCCTCAAAGTTGGTAGATCTGCCTTGTGTCATGGAAAGCTTGAAAACCATTGATAAAAAAACCTTTTATAAGACGGCGGATATCTGTCAGATGCTTGTATCCACAGTGGATGGCGACCTCTACCCTCCTGTGGAGGAGCCAGTTGCCCCCGCAGACCCCAAAGCAAGCAAGAAAAAAGATAAGGACAAAGAGAAGAAGTTTGTTTGGAACCATGGAATCACTCTACCTCTAAAGAATGTCAGAAAGAGAAGGTTCCGGAAGACAGCCAAGAAGAAGTACATCGAGTCTCCCGATGTGGAGAAAGAAGTGAAGAGGTTGCTGAGCACTGACGCAGAAGCTGTCAGCACCCGCTGGGAGATAATTGCCGAAGACGAAACAAAGGAGACAGAAAATCAGGGCCTCGATATCTCTTCTCCAGGAATGTCTGGCCACAGGCAGGGCCACGACTCTCTAGAGCACGATGAGCTTCGAGAGATATTCAACGACCTCAGCAGCAGCAGTGAGGATGAGGAGGACGTGAACATCGTCGACACCGAGGAAGATCTGGAGAGACAGCTGCAAGACAAGCTCAACGAGTCCGATGAGCAGCACCAGGGGACGAAGGAACCAGCCAGCTGGTTATGGGGATTCAGAAACAGATTGACAGCATGAAAGGCAAGCTGCAGGAGACCCAAGACAGGGCGAAGCGCCAGGAGGACCTCATCATGAAGGTAGAGAACCTGGCCCTCAAGAGCAGGTTCCAGGCTGTCCTGGATGAACTCAAACAGAAGGAAGACAGGGAAAAAGAGCAGCTCAGCTCTTTGCAGGAAGAGCTAGAATCACTCCTCGAGAAGTGAGGACGTGCATTTTATTTTCATAGTGAGGTCTCAAAGTTGTTCTCAGTCCCTAAAATGCTAGGAGTCGTGTTGAATTTTGTTGTTTTCAGAACTGCTGTGCCAGGTTTTTGTTCTTTAGGAAGTAGGATTGCGTATGTAGGTAAGTTGTTAGTAAGATAGTGAAGAGTGGAGCTCTAATCACTTCACCATAGGTCTTTGTTACCATTTGCCTCTTTTCCAGACGGTTCCATTCCTGTTCTTTGGTGCTAACATTAGTAAGAAGCTAGCCTACAGGCAGCGAAGTTAGTTTATTTTTTTAATTTAATTTAATTTTTTAAAATAGACGTATGCAGTAGCTATCTTATTAGCTACTCAGCAAGTTTCCATGTATAGAAATGTATATTATTGCATAAAGTTGTTTCTTGGACAATAAAAGTTACTAATTTTCACAATGTTTATCTTATTCTATAAATAGTGAGAGTTGAGGTGGGTTCATGGAGTTTAATGATTGAATGGTGTGGTCGTGTTTTGTAGATAAAGATACATGCTGTTTTGTGTTTTCAGAAACAGGAATACACGGGTAAAGAGATGGAGAAATTCATCTTTGTGTTAATATTAAGTTCAGATCCATCTGGAAGTTTGAGGACATGGGGTCCAGAGCCTCCCTAAACTATCCTACTTTTATTAAGCTCTAAGGTTGTCTGTGTAAAGTACCTGTTTGGATTACTTAAAAGCAGCCCCCTGGTACCCCAGGTCTGTGTGCTCCACATGGAGGTCATCTAGCCCCTTTCATTGAGAACCCACCTTTCTGCTTTACTACTGACAGCTGCTGAAGCCCCAAACCAGAAACTTAACAGCCACAGGGCAAGGCACTCCTGCGTTTGTATTGTAGATCGGTGGTTTTGTTGTGTGATTTTTGGGCCATATAATTTAACTTAATCTGTTTGCTTCAATTTTCTTTTCTCTGAAATGGAGGTGGTAGTATTATCAGCCTCAGAGGGCTATTGGGTTAGTGACTTAAATCATATCACAGACATACTTAGAACAGTAATTGGAATATGGAGAGTGAATAGTGAACAAAGAAACATTCCTATTCACTGGACTGCATCATAATAGGTGTTAAACAGTCTTGAATTAAAGAGGGATTGAAATGTTCATAAAGACACCTTTTTTTTTTTTTTTAATTTTAACTCAGTGTGTAGCTCAGGCTGGCTTGAACTCAATTCTCCTGTTATGGTCAAGTACTGGGATTATAGGGTTGCATGACCAGGCCTGGCTCAGGAAACAGCTGTTTTAATTAGGGTTTGCTTCAGATTCCTCAAAGATTCTAAATCAGACCTTATAATTTGGAAAGTTTGCTTCAAATATCTGCAACATAGAAGCTGACTCAGCTAGTTCCTGTAGCTTTATTGTATTAATATTAAAAGGTGGCATAATGAATATCATGTAAAATTTAAAAGATAAAGACTTAACTGAAGATTGGGATCCAAATAAATCCTGCATTATTGTGAAAGGTATGGTATAGAGCTGAACAGTTTTCAGGGTTTCCAGATTCATGAACAAGTTGTGCTTTTGTGTGTGTGTGTGTACAAGTTTTGAACACCTTTCAAAGAAATAGTGCTTTAAAATACTAAGGAAGATTCCCTATAAACAAGTAATGTAGAGATTCTACAAAAAAGCAACACCCTGTCATACCAACTTCCTAGGAGAATTTATATTAACATTTTAAGATGTATTATCCCATGCCTTTATTTTGTATGTACACAACAGATTGCATTTATGTAGTTTTTAATGCAAAAATTATGGTTTTGTTTTATAGACCCTTTAGAAACTTGTATAAAAATATGAGTAACTCTATCAATGTGTGAATCAGTGTCTTTTTCACAATAGAGTTTTTTCCTAATGTTATCGGCTACTGATGGTTATTAGCAGTGAAGATAGGAACCCTAATATTAAAGTCTGCTCAGAACTGTTTGATATCCAAGACCTATGAAGCCAGGTAATGTCCCCCATCTCACAGAGAACAGGAAGTTTATTTTTCTGTATGAAATGAGCCAGTGAAGGCTGCATTTCAAAGCAGGCCCACGTTAAGTGTGAATGAGGTGAAGAGCAGCTGGAAAGGGATGGTGTGCAAGCCTGTGTGTGTCCCTGTGAGCTGTGTGTGTCCCTGTGAGCTGTGTGTGTCCCTGTGAGCTGTGTGTGTCCCTGTGAGGGCCCTGATTAGGGCTGGAAAGATAGCTCATGGTTAAGAGCACTTCCTGCTCTTGCAGACCGGGTTGGTTCCCAGCACTCATGTGGTGACTCAACAGCCAATGGAAAGTCCAGTTCTAGGGGATCTAACCCTCTTCTGATTTCTATGGGCACTAGTCATGCAGTGGTGCACATACATGCAGGCAAAGCATTCATAAAATAAATCTTTAAAGTCTTAGACGATTATCTCTTTTTTAAAAGATTTATTTATTTATTACATATACACCAGATTGAATTGTAGATGGTTGTGAGCCACCATGTGGTTGCTAGGAATTGAACTCAGGACCTCTGGAAGAGCAGTCAGTGCTCTTAACCTCTGAGCCACCTCTCCAGCCTAGACGATTATCTCTAAAGAAAAGTTATCCCAGAGAAAAGAATTCCCAGTGTCCACAGTTGACATTTTCCAAAGAAAAGGCCAGGTCTATCTGCTGGGAAAAGAAGCCTGGCTGTCACCGTGCACAATCTGATTTCTAAAGCCTCAGTGTTTGGGTTTTTTAGACAGGGTCTCTATGTAGCTAGCCCTGGCTCTTTTGGAACTGGCTCTTTACATCAGGCTGGCCTTGAACTCAGAATTGCCTGTCTGCCTGGGATTAAAGGCCTGTGCTGTTAAGCCTGGCTAATGCTTCACTTTTAAATACAGTCCAGGAAAGAAACTTTTCGCACAGTCTGACCCCAGATGTGGTTTCACCTCCAAAGTAGTTTGTCTGTGCAACTCAGATTCCCATCTCTTCTGCTCCCAGAGAGGAGCATTTGGCTAGAGATGTTTTGTGCCGTGAACTCAAAAGCAGAAGTTCCCAAGCATTTGCCTTCTCATTTATTCATTTTTGAGGCAGAGTTTCGATATGTATCCTTGGCTGTCTCCCAACCCACAAAACCCGCCTCTGCTTCCTGAATGTTGGAGTTAAAGATGTGGTCCCCACTCATGGCCTGTCTTCTCTGTTTTAGATCTTTTTTTTTTTGGTAGGTTGTGCCCTTTAAATCCAGACTAGATTGACGGAAAACACTCCCTGGTGTCACTTTGCATGGAAAGAAATCAGGAAGGCCCCTAAAGGGGGAAGCACCCTTCCATTCTCCACTTGCCATGGTGCCGAGGATGTAACAGCCATGGTCCACCCAACTAGGCACGCGATCTGCCACTGACTTACACTCCCAGCTTCAGTAACGCGCTTCCTCACACGTATTTATGGGAGAAGTGACCCTGAAAACATTCTGACAATGCCCACGGGGACAGTGGGCACTCGTGGATGCGCGTGGAAGGGGGTTATTCCCAAGCGGCTGGGGAGTGCGGCGGCCGGAGGCTTTGGGTTGAGTGGCCTTTGCTGGGAAACGGAGATACAGGGCCCGTAGCGGCCGGCCGTGGGAGCCCACCGAGACTTGCCTTCCAACAACACCCACGAGGGGGTGGACGAACATGAAGTCCACCCTGCCTTCCAAGCCGCCATAGATCTCACTGCGGGCGCCGTTGGGGGCGCAGCGTGCGTTCTGACTGGGCAGCCCTTCGACACCATAAAAGTGAAGATGCAGACATTCCCCAACCTGTACAAGGGCCTCACCGACTGCTTCCTAAAGACCTACAACCAAGTGGGCTTCCGGGGCCTCTACAGGGGAACCAGTCCTGCCCTGCTAGCCTATGTCGCCCAGAGCTCTGTCCTATTCATGTGCTATGGCTTCTGCCAACAGTTTGTCAGGAAAGTGGCCAGAGTGGACCAGAGCACACAGCTGAACGACTTTCAGATTGCCACTGCTGGATCACTGGCCTCCGCCTTTGCTTCGCTGGCCCTCTGCCCCACTGAGCTCGTGAAGTGCCGGCTGCAGACCATGCATGAAATGAAGATCTCTGGGAAGATAGCACAAAGCTACAACACAATTTGGTCTATGGTTAAGAGTATCCTCATGAAGGAGGGTCTCTTAGGCTTCTATCGTGGACTCCCCACCACTCTAGTCCAGGAAATACCTGGCTATTTCTTCTTCTTTGGGGGCTATGAACTCAGTCGATCGTTTTTTGCATCAGGGAAACCAAAGGATGAACTGGGCCCTGTCCCTCTGATGTTGAGTGGGGGCTTTGCTGGGATCTGCCTCTGGCTTATCATATTCCCAGTGGACTGCATTAAATCCAGAATCCAGGTTCTCTCTATATTTGGGCAGCCAGCAGGACTAATCCCAACCTTTGTAAGCGTGGTGAGAAACGAAGGAATATTAGCCTTGTATTCTGGAATGAAGGCCACAATGATTCGAGCCATCCCTTCCAATGCTGCTCTATTTTTGGCCTATGAATACAGCAGGAAGGCGATGATGAGCATGGTTGAAGAATACTGAAGTGTCTTGATGGACCCTGTCTGATCACATGAGTGTGAGAACCACGGTTTAGATACCAAAGAGTTCAAGACCAACATGGCGTTATCTTTGGGAATTTTGGGTTTGTCTTCCCTTCTACCAAAAATCAAACTCAGTGGAGAAATCTTTATATCATATGGTTTCTTCCCACAATTATACTGAAATAGAAAAACCACTGCTTTTGCTGGTGGTGCAATCTACAGGGTGAACCTGAGACACTATGTACTTAACCTTAAAGGTTATTAGGGCCACTTCATAAACCTATGTATGTATCTTGAATGATTATGTGTTGTCAGTGAAACATAATTTAGTTCCCTTTTTAGTCTCAGGTATCATCAAAACATCTAGAGTTGATCATGTTTCGTGAATACAGTTTAAAATCTGTTTAATATGCACCACACTAAGCTGTTAAAGTTACTTAAAATCTCCATGTGACAAACAAAACATTCACATTGATTCCTGAGAAAAGAACGAACCAGCTTGGCTTTCACATTCTTGAGTAAAATCTCAGAGTAGGCATTTGGGATTTTCTACTCTATTCTTAAATAGTGTGGTTCATTTTCAAAGTCTACCCTGCAATAGTATTGTTAGGCAAGGCCTTGTGTATCAGGCCTTCGGAAAGTGGTGTGGCCTTTAAGAAAACTCATTTCCTTCCTCCTCTTCCAAAGAAGGCAGGCTTTGGATTGAGGGAAGAGATAAAGGCACAGGGTTATGACACCAGGTTTTGATGATCCATGTAGATGAGCAGTTCTCAACCTGTCGGTCACTTGACCCTTGTGGAGGAATTGAACAACCCTTTCATAGGGGTTGCATATCAGATATTTACATTACGATTCACAATAGATAGTAGCAAAATTATAGTTAGGAAGTAGTAAAGTAATTTTATGGATGGGGGTCATCATGACATGAGGATCTGTATTGAAGGGTCACAGCATTAGGAAGGCTGGAAACCACTGATGTAGCTGAAAAGAGTTCTAATTTGCTTCCAGTCTCTGGGTCTTGGCCTGGGGAGGACTTCACAGTGTTGTGTTGGCTCATGTAGGGGTTGTTGATTCACTTTAGGTCCCTACCGTTGCCCATTCTTCCAGGAAACAAAGGACGGAAGCCAAGAAAAGATTTTCTTCTATCTGATGGCAGAGTGAGAGTCCCATGGGTGGTGCTATGTCTTAGGCAGGACCAGTGCTCACTTTGTGCAATCATCCCACAGTAAGCACTATGGAAGAGGTGACTCTCTCTTGAAGGTCACCTTGGGTCCATAACTGTTTGTTGTAATTTCAGTGTCACAGGTTTCTAAATTTGGTGCTGGTGGTCAGTGAACTGTAGGAAACGTGGTTTTATTAAACTGCATGTATGCATTTAAGCACAGACAGTATCTCCCAACAAAACCCTCAAATACACCAAAACAAGTGGAAAAACCCTCCCCCAAATCATGATTCAACTTTCCCCCAACAGACTTGGAATTAAGCAGCTGTTCATGGGCCATATGATTTTAGAAAGTCATTCTTTGTTTGTTTGTTTGTTTGTTTTGTTCTTTTGAGACAGGGTTTCTCTGTGAAGATCAGGCTGGCCTCAAACTCAGAGATCTGCTTGTCCCCAAGTGTCATGATTAAAGGTGTACACCACCACTCTCTTAATAAAGTAAGTTCACATTTCTATCCTGCTACAAGACCAGGAGGGTCTTTTCAGTAACAGGTGTTAAATGCCTTTAATGTTGAAAGAAGGTGAGGGACCAGTCTTAATAGTCCAATTGATGTGTTTCTTGTGCCAGGCCTCCAACTTCCTTTTTTTAAATTTTATTTTCCAGTTTAAATTTAGATAAGAAACAAGGTTGCTTCACAAGTCAGTTCCAGGTCCCTCTCCCTTTCCCTCCCCTCCTCCCGGGCCCTCCCCCCAACCCCCCCCCCCGTTATCCCCTCATTCCCCCAGGGAGGGTGAGGCCCTCCATGGGGGTGTCCATAGTCTGTCATTTCATATAGGGCAGGGCCTAGACCCTTCCCCAAGGGTTCAGGGTGAGAGTGCACCTCACATTGTTCTATGGGAGTCCAAAGTCTGTGTGTATACTTGGAATGGGTACTGATCTGCTGCCCAAGGTTCAATAGATTCCCTAGGCCTCCTCACTGACACCCAGATTCAGGGGGTCTTGATCAGTCCCATGCTGGATTCCCAGACTGATGCCTGGGATTCAAGAGTTAACCTTTGTCTGGTCAGCTGTTTCTGGGGGTTAAACCAGCCCAGTCTTAATCCCTTTGATCATCAGTCCTCCCTCTCTGTTACTGGTTTTCTTGAGTTCAGCTCACTACTTAACCAGCCACTAAATGAAGTTTCTGTTTCCCAGACTCTCTGGCCATAGGATTGTAGGCTGGCACTCCCCAGATCTATGTCTAAAATCCATATATGAGAGAGTACATGCCATGTTTCTCTTTTTGTGACTGGGTTACCTCACTCAGGATGGTTTCTTCTAGTGTCATCCATTTGCCTGCGAATCTCATGATTCCATTATTTTTTTCTGCTGAATAGTACTCCATTGTGTAAATGTACCACATTTTCTCTATCCACTCTTCGGTTGAGGGACATCTAGGTTGCTTCCAAGTTCTGGCTATTACAAATAAAGCTGCTATGAACATAGTGGAACAGACATCTTTGTTGTATGAATGGGCATCTTTTGGATATATGCCTAAGAGTGGAGTTGCTGGGTCTGGTGGTAGGTTTATTCCCATTTTTCTGAGGAATCTCCATACTGATTTCCAAAGTGGCTGAACCAGTTGGCACTCCCACCAGCAATGGAGGAGTGTCCCCCTTTCACCACATCTTCTCCAGCATGAATTGTCATTGGTGTTTTTGATTTTAGCCATTCTGACAGGAGTGAGATGGTATCTCAGAGTTGTTTTGATTTGCATTTCCTGGATGGCTAAGGATGTTGAGCACTTTCTCAAGTGCCTCTCAGCCATTTTAGACTCCTCTATTGAAAACTCTCTATTTAGTTCTGCAGCCCACTTTTTAATTGGGTCCTTTGATGTTTTGGAGACTTGCTTCTTGAGTTCTTTGTAAATTTTGGAGATCAACCCTCTGTCAGATGTGGGATTAGTGAATATTTTTCCCATTCTGTGGGCTGCCTTTTTGTCTTGCTGACTGTGTCCTTTGCCTTAAAGAAGCTTCTCAGTTTCAGTAGGTCCCATTTATTAATTGTTGATCTCACTGTCTGTGCTACTGGTGTTATGTTCAGGAAGCTGTCTCCTGTACCAATTCGTTCAAGGGTACCACCCACTTTCTCTTCTAAGAGGTTCAGTGTGGCTGGATTTATGTTGAGGTCTTTGATCCATTTGGACTTAAGTTTTGTGCATTGCGATAAACATGGATCCATCCACATTCTTCTACATGCCAGTCTCCAGTTATGCCAGCACCATTTGTTGAAGATGCTTTCTTTATTCCATTGCATATTTTTAGTTTCTTTGTCAAAGATCAGATGTTCTTATGTGTGTGGGTTAATACCCGGGTTTTCAATTCGATTCCATTGGTCTACCTGTCTATTTTTGTGCCAATATCAAGCTGTTTTCAGGACTATAGTTCTATAATAGGGCTTGAGGTCTGGGATGGTGATGCCTCCGTACGTTGCCTTGTTGAACAGGGTTGTTTTGGCTATCCTGGGTCTTTTGTTTTTCCATACAAAATTGATTATTGTTCTTTCAAGGTCTGTGAAGAATTGTGCTGGGATTTTAATGGGGATTGCATTGAATCTGTAGATTGCTTTTGGCAGGATTGCCATTTTTACTACATTGATCCTACCTATCCAAGAGCATGGGAGATCTTTCCATTTTCTGAGGGCTTCTTTAATTTTTTCTTTAAAGATTCAAAGTTCTTACGATACAGGTCTTTCACTTGTTTGGTTAGTGTTACCCCAAGGTATTTTATGTTGTTTGTGGCAATTGTAAAGGGTGATGTTTCTCTGATTTCTTTTTCAGCCCTTTTATCATCTGTATATAGTAGGGCTACTGATTTTCTTGAGTTGATCTTGTAGCCTGCCACTTTGCTGAAGGTGTTAATCATCTGTAAGAGTTCCCTGGTAGAGTTCTTTGGGTCATTGATGTAAACTATTATATCATCTGCAAACAGTGAAAGTTTGACCTCTTCCTTCCCAATTTGTATCCCCTTGATCCCCCTTTGTTGTCGTATGGCAATAGCTAGAACTTCAAGTACCATGTTGAAAAGGTATGGAGATAGTGGACAGCCTTGTTTTGTTCCTGTTTTTAGAGGAATTACGTTGAGTTTCTGTCCATTTAGTTTGATGCTGGCTGTTGGTTTACTGTATATAGCTTTTATTATGTTTAAGTATGTCCCTGTTATCCCAGATCTCTCCAAGACCTTTATCATGAAGGGGTGTTGGATTTTGTCAAAGGCTTTTTCAGCATCTAGTGAGATGATCATGTGATTTTTGTTTTTCAGCTTGTTTATATGGTGGATTACATTGATGGATTTTCGTATGTTGAACCATCCCTGCATCCCTGGGATGAAACCTACTTGATCGTGGTGAATGATTGTTTTGATGTGTTCTTGGATCCGATTTGCCTGTATTTTATTGAGTATTTTTGCATCAATGTTCATGAGGGATATTGGTCTGAAGTTCTCTTTCTTAGTTGTATCTTTGTGTGGCTTGGGGATCAAGGTTATTGAGGCCTCATAGAAAGAGTTTGGCAAAGACCCTTATGCTTCTATTGTGTGGAACACTTTGAGAAGAATTGGTATAAGCTGTTCTTTGAATTTCTGGTAGAATTCTGCACTGAGGCCATCTGGACCTGGACTTTTTTTGGTTGGGAGACTTTTGATGACTGCTTCTATTTCCATAGGGGTTATAGGTCTATTTAAATAGCTTATCTGTTCTTGATTTAGTTTTAGCAAGTGATAGCTATCCAGGAAGTCATCCATTTCCTTTAAATTTTCGAATTTTGTGGAGTACAGGTTTTCAAAGTATGACCTAATGATTCTCTGGATTTCCTTAGAGTCTGTTGTTATGTCCCCCTTTTCATTTCTGATTTTGTTAATTTGCGTGTTCACTCTCTGCTGTTTGGTAAGTTTGCACAAAGGTTTGTCTATCTTGTTGATTTTCTCAAAGAACCAACTCTTCGTTGCATTGATTCTTTGTATTGTTTTTCTGGTTTCTACTTTATTGATTTCAGCCCTCAATTTGATTATTTCCTGGCATCTACTCCTCCTGGGGGAGTTTGCTTCTTTGTGTTCTAGGGCTTTCAGCTGTGATGTTAATTCTCTGGTATAACTGTTCTCCT